GTGTGCTGTGATAGGCTTCACTGAAAAAACTTTGCTATATTTTGACAAACGGGTGGGATTAGACCTCAGATCAAAAAGAAAATACATGGCTGAAGATACAGTAGGGTCCACGGCGAATCAGTTTTCTCTGCAAGTTGTGAAATAAAGTAAACAAGCGTAGGGTTGATGATTTTCAATACCGAAGAACTTCCATGTGAATCATAATTTTCAATTTGTTCATCGACTGGTCACCAAATATTTATGGCTATAACTAAATTTGACAAGTTTTTTTCTGAAGCCCAATAAATTATTCATACATGTCAAGCTCTGTTCATGGAGGTAAAAAGAGGAGTCACAGCCAAAATAATCTTCCTAAACTTCTTTTGTTTTACCAAGTTTAATCCTATAATTCCCTTTGTCTTATTGTCCTTTCACCCCAGGATCGTTGCCGACGCGTCATTTATCCTCAAGCGTTGCTGCGTACAGTACACACTCCAAGGTCTTGTTTTACAGTGTCGCAGTAAATGCCAAAGGGCACAACGCATGCACAGATCTTTTATACTTGCAGGAATAGTGTTTGTGAGCACGGGAAAGTTGGAATTTTGAAAATCAGAGAATTTCTTGTTAAGTTTATGTAATTTCTCGTTTTTCAGCACATTTTCCGTTGTATTTTTTTCATAGGCAATATGGTAATGTTTCGATACCTTGCTAGTACTGTTTTTAGTACAAAATAAAGCTCATTTAATGATCTTTGCAATGGTGCATGACATGGGCCGCACCGCGTTGTACCAGAGACTGAATTTTGAGGTTCAAAATGACACTTTTTGAAGTTTATATCCCGTGTACCGGTATGTCCTACTTCCTATGGCAGTGCGTCAATTTTCTTTATACACCATGTACAAGAAATTTGCTCCATTTTTTTGTTTTTGAGCAATCGTTTCATTCACAACATATGCAAAACAATTCTTCGTCTGTAATATGCTCTTCGATTTCGTTTACGTCTTCTGAATTGAAGGATATAACAGTTTCAGCATCGTAGTCAAACTCGTGCACGTTATCGATATATTTGTTTATTAGAATTTGACTGGAATTGTCACGAAAATCACTGAGTGCTGTCGAAGGCGTCCGTAGTATGCTAATGCATCGTAATCCTCACTGCGCTAAGAGGAAACTGTCCGCCTTGGTCTGTTCGGCAAATAAACTCCCTGATCGATGTACAAACAGCGGTGACCATCTTGATACCTTTGATCTAAGCTTGGCTGTGACTCCTCTTTTTACCTGGGCATGTGGCCGTTTTTATTCGTTATTTATTTTTTAGCTGGAATACTTTTACGGTACGTATTGATCGAGCTCATTCACCGATCGTGACTTAATTTTGAAAATTGAATGTAAAATTTTACCAGACCAACCACCTGTGGACCAACCTGTGGTTTTGGTATTGTTATTTTTGGAATTGATCAATAATTTTTGGTATTGATCAATAATATTTCATTCATATTTTTTACCGGCGTCGGGTAGCCAGTTTTTTCATCTTAGAACTCCTTCCCATGATATATTAGGTTATTAAAACACCGAGAAAAGCTTGAAATACTATTAATAGTGTAATGTTTGTCTGTGTTTCGATTGCGTAATGGACACTATTTATAGATTACACAGGATATAATAAAGCTGGAATTAGTATGCAAATTAATCCTTTGTCTTCAGTCTGCCACTCAACATTATATGTAAATGCATGGAAGACATGTTTACCCATAACTAGATTTTTGAGAATAAACTGAAATTACGCACCAAATGCATCATGCACAATAAATTTGAACCAAAGATAAAGAAAGTACACAATACAATGTTTCATAATCCGAAATTTCTATTTTTT